ACTTTTCTCCTGCAGAGCAGCTAGTGATTTCAAACCGCCGACCTTGTGATTAGCAGTCCAATGAATAGCCACTACACCACCAAGGCTCCTCTCAGCCAGCTCCATGTTATTTTTGTTAGGTGCCCATGAGTTGGTTCTGACCCACAGCCATCCTATGCACAACAGAATAGAACGCTGCCTGGCCCTGCACCATCCTCACTATCGTTCCCATGCTTGAGCCCATGGTTGTAGTCACTGTGCCGATCCATCTCATTGAGGGCCTTCCTCTTTCTCAATACCTCTCTATTCCACCAAGCATGAGGCCCTTCTCCAAGGACTGATCTCTCCCGACAACATGTCCAAAGTCTGTAAGACGAAGCCTTGCCATTCTTGCCTCTAAGGAACACTTGGTACTTCTTCCAAGACAGATCCGTTTGTTCTTTTGGCAATCCGTGGTGCTTTCAGTATTTTTCTCCAGCACCAAAATTCAAATGCATTGATTCTTCTTTGGTGCTATGTATTCAGTGTCCAAATTTCACGTGCATATGAGGCAATGGAAAATACCAGCACTTGGGTCAGGAGCACCTTAGATCTCAAAGTAACATCTGTGCTTTTCACTCTAAAAAGATCTGTGCAACAATACATCTTTTAATCTCTTGACTGTTGCTCCCAGGAGCGTTCAACTCCATAGCCAAAATAAATAATTTCTAATTCCTAGAACATTCAGAGGAAGACAGGCTATTTTGCTCTAATCCCCTTTCTCATGAAAACATTACCTTGCTGGTATACCTTAGAAACTAGGAATGACATCTGAAGCTTTTGACCCCATAACATTGTAAGCCCTGCATTGCAATAGGACATATCGTCTGATGGGTCTGTCAGAGCTGTCTTCTAACCAGACTGGCCTCGACAAGAGGAATGCTCTTTCCTTCTGAAGTGAACATGGCAGACTTTTAAGAATGGATGCTTTTCTGGAATTGGTCTGAGGTTTGAATGGCCCCTAGGTGAGAGTCCTGAGCCAGTGGAGGTAGGTCTAATTAAATTCCAAAGTCAATGCCTTCCTATCACAGGAACGATACCATTTTCATACCCAGCTGTGATTCTAGAGCCCTGGTGGCACTGTGGTGTATGATTTGATCTGCCAACCACAAGGTCAACAGTTCAAAATCACCAGCTCCTCCAAAGGACAAAGAGGAGGCTTCCTGCACCAGTCAAGATTTACAGTCTCAGAAACCCACAAAGGGGAGGTATTGTCCATCCTATAGGGTCCAACTATAAGTCAGAACTGACTCATTGGCAGTAACTTGAGTTGAGATACTGTATTAGGCTGGGTTGACTAGAGAAACAAATCCAGGAACACTCATCTATGTATAAGAAAGCTCTTTATATCAAGATGCTTTATATATCAGGAGCTATCACGGCATAGTTCAACTCAAGTCCCTAAGTCTGATAGCAGTCCATAAATCCCTCTTCAGACTCACACAACCACATGCAATGATTGCAGGAGGATTGTAGGCCAGTGGGTGTAAGGTTGTGTGGATCCAATGGCACAGTTCTTCACAGGGCTTGCACAGGTCTTAGAGTGATTTAAAGAAGGTGAATGCAGGAGAGAGAAAGAGGAGAGGTTCCTAAGACCCTCCTTATGAGAAGACCATGCCGACAAGGAGGCACAATCAGTCTGTGATCTGATTGACAGGCTGGATTCCACTGCTACACTCTATTTATGAAGTTGATGTGAAATTACGTAACAAGCACGGTAAACCCACACGATAGAGAAGTTCTCTTAGGTGGGCTTACAGAGGGCTTTGCTGCATGAGTTCAGCTAAGTGGGCCTCGAATGTCAACTTTTACACAAAGATAAAATGTAATAATAGTGTTGACTAGTTGTGTGAATCTGTTGTTAAAGGCGAGGAGTAATAACACCAGTCAGTCTGTGCACTCAGATAAAGGCATAATGTGTCCTTTTTCTTCCCCGATGAACTTTAGATCCAAATGTACCAGCTGTCCAGGCTGCTCCACGACTACCACCGTGACCTCTACAACCACCTGGAGGAAAATGAGATCAGCCCCAGCCTGTATGCGGCCCCCTGGTTCCTCACCTTGTTCGCCTCCCAGTTCCCACTGGGATTTGTAGCCAGAGTTTTTGGTAAGAGATGCCTGTGATCAAGCGGGGCAATGTTATTTGTTCTCAGGACTATATGCTTTTAAGCCAGATGGTTCCCTGGTTGGCTTATCACGTGTTGCAGATGAGGAAGTTGTCGGTGGAATTTAAGAACTGTGTCTGGCTCTGTTCTTGCTGATAGTAATTTGGAATCATGTTGGTCTTAAATAAAATTGAATTCAAATGGGAAAGACAAAAGGAAGCACTGGGCCCCTGTATTGAGTAAGCTGCGATGGAACTTTTATTTTCAATATGTTTAAAAATCAGATGATACTTTGGTGGAAAAAAAAATCTGAAATAAGGATTTCTTTATAATTTTCCAGATGTTTATATACAGCTTTCCTACTTCTATTTCTTCTTTCCTTCCTTGTTTTCTTCTTCAACTTGGATCTCAAGAGAAATATGTTCTTCAACTGGATCTTTGTAATGGCATCTCTTCATCTGATTGTTGCTTTCAAGGTAGCTTTGATTCCCATTTTAACTTTCAAATGATTCACCTTTTGTCCTTATAAAATGGTGCTCACCAATCTCTAAGACCTAAGGGAAATCACCAAGGGAAATCATCAAGGGAAATCACCAAGTACAGTTGGGGGCCCACTGGGTACCGGATGGGTTGCAAGCTGCTGAGTCATGATGGGCTCCATGACAGCGTTAGACAGTAGGAATAGAAAGAGCATATGGCGTGGTCTAGCCTCTTCTGGAGGGCCTCTAGATCTGTTCATGAGTCTTTAGCCAAGGTTATAGAAGCAGAACAAACAACCAAGAAACCACCGAGCTATTCACTAGTGCAGTCTGTCCTAACGATGTTGCTTAGAAACGCGAGTCTCAGAAACAGTGCCCACAATCTCTGTGTTCAGCTCATCTGTCTGGTCGCCTTTGTCAAAGAAGCCGGTATTCAACAACTGTGTTCCTGCCAGGTGCTGTCGAGTTGATTCTATCCTACAACCACGCTGCGTACAGTGGAACAAAATGTGTTCAGTCTTGTGCTTCACTGACAAATATTGCTGTGTACGAGCTTGTACAAATGGGTACCTGTCCCCCCCACAAAATGGAATTTTCTTTTCAAAGCTGTGTATTTAAATTTTTTGTGTTGTTGTTGTTTTAAATCACTTTATTGGGGGCTCATACAACTCTTATCACAATCCATCCATCCATCCATTGTATGTCAAACACATTTGTACATTTGTTGCCCGTAAAAAAAACAAAACAACCTTATCACCTTCAAAGTACTCTCCATTACACTGAAGACATTTGTCAAATCTGCGATGTCATTCTTGGAAACATTTTTTAAACTTATCTGTTTGGATGCCTGACAGCATCTCCCTCTTTTTTTCTTCACCTCTTCAATGTCGTCAAATTGCTATCCTTTCATGGCCCTCTTCATTTGTGGAAACAAAAAGAAGTTGTCTGGGGCGAGGTCAGATGAGTCACATGCGTGGGACAAAAGAGGCATACTGTTTTTTGCCAAAAACTGGCGCACTGAGATGGCTGCGTGAGCAGGTATATTGTCATGGTGGCACAACCCGTCCCCCATCTGCCACAAATCAGGCCTTTTTTGTCACACACTGTTAGGCAATCTTTTCAAAACCTTTAAATAGAAAGCTTGATTAACAGTCTGACCTGGTGAAACAAACTCCAAATGCACTATGAGTCAACATTTTCATCCATTTGGGAAGTTGACGGATGTCCACAATGAGATTTGTCATCAATTGACATTTCATCTTTTGTGAAATGAGAAAATCACTCATACACTTGAGTCTTTCCCAAGCGTTGTCCTTTTAAGCTGTGTTCACCATCACAACAGTTTCTGTGGCATTTTTCCAGTGCAGGAAACAAAATTTCACAGCTGCATGCTTCTCTCTGAAATTGACCATCACAAAAAACAAGGTTTGAGGGAAACTGCTTGTATGAAAAAAGTTCACTGTGACCAGAGAGAACTTTCCCAGGTGATGCCGCTGGATGCATTAATTCAGAGCGAGTTGCTCAATACCTAGTGGGAAAAAGTGCATACTACATTGGGGGTTAGTGGCTACCACCTCATATGTTAGATTAAGTGAATTGTAAAGCTTTGCCAGTATTTTAAACGATGAAATAGTGCAGAATAGAGTGAACATATGGCAGAATGTTATAAGAAGAAATATTGCTTAGTGAAACTTCAGACTTGAGAATATATATATATATATATATATATATATATTTTTTTTTTTTTTTTTCTCTCCCTGGATTATGATATAGAATGAGGAGACCTGGTGATCTAGTGAGTTGTGAGTGGGATGCTAACCACAAGGGCAGCAGTTCAAAACCACTAGCTGTTCTTCTGGAGAAAGATGTGGCTGTCTGCCCCTGTAAAGACTCACAGCTTTGGGAACCGACAGAGGTGGTTCTACTGTCTCACAGGGTCACCCTGAGCTGGAATTGAATCCATGGCCGTGAGTTTGGTGTTGAGTTTGGATACACAGTCAGTGACTTTCTTATCGGGGCCTCTCAATTAAAACGCTGAACAAACACTGCATTAACAGTAACAAAATCTACAAACACTACAGCAAAAGAATGAAACCAAGCTGCAGTGAATTAAATGTACTCCCAATCCTTCGTTAATTGAATATATGTGATTCATTTCTTTAATTTCTCATACTCTTCTATGAGTCTATATATGTGCATACATAGACCAAACTGAAAACTCTCAGCCATTGAGTTGATTCCGACTCATAGTGACCCTGTAGGACAGGATACAATTGCCCCTGTGAGTTTCCAAGACTGTAACTTTTTTTCCCCAGCAGTTTTATTGGCACACAATTTACATGTAATACAATTGAATAGTTCAATTGTATCTAGGGGAATTGTACAATCAGCACCACATCTATCTTAGAGCATTCCCCCGCCTCCATGATTAAATTGCCTTCAAAATGAGTTGTGCAGTTCCTATCAGTTCTAGTGCTCTCTCGCCCCTCCTGCCTTCTTTATTTATTCTGTAAATTCCCTTTCCCTCCATACACCCATTTCCCACTCCTGCATTCCCTATATCACCTTGTATCAGTTGTGATCATTATACATCCAACTCCTCCTGTGCTTCACAGATGGGAACCCAACAAGACAAATCGCACTAAGGTGGTAAGGAAAAGAACATCTTAGTATAAGAGCAAAAATACAAATGATGCATGAGAGGGAGAAGACCCCATCAACATTGCAGAAGCCAGGGAAGAAATTTCTGTCACAGAACATGTAAGAGATACTTGCACCCAGGTCAAATTCAGGTCATGTCTATAGGGAGGTCAACTGGCCAAGTATCGAGTTCAGTCCAGTAGAATCAAGATTACAATGGTCTCTGCCTTATAGTCAGTCTGTTCGGGACTTTTGCCTTTGGCTAGAGTAGGTCTGCTAGCAGCTCTGTCTGACTAGATATTCTGTAGATGGGTTTTTGGCTCCCACTCTCTTCCATAGCCTTCTACAAATTGGGTGTTCATAATTTTAGCTCTGATACTTTCATCTTCATCGTATTTGAATT